CTTAGGAAGACCACGCTTACGCTGGGAAGACTGTGTAAAAAGGGACGTGGAAAACATTGAACCAGAGATACCATGGAGAGTAGTGGCAGAAAATAGAGATAGATGGAGAGAAATTTGTTTGGCGGTATGGTCTCAATGACCGAAAACCAAAAAAAAAAAATTTTCATCATTTTAAAATAAATATTAAGCTAAAATTGTTTAAGCTATATGTGGATCTTGAGCATCTGTAAATTATTAAAAAAAATTTCAAATATTTATTAGAACAGTWGTAGTTATTTCATTTGTGCTGCTACATTGTTTATATAATAATATAATAAATTAATAATGTTATATATTATATTATTTTACTTGATGATTTTGCYCCACGATATTTCATTTCTGTTTGATACATTTGTYACAAAATGTACTATATACATTGTTTTTAACCAGGTTTTCTTTTGATCTTGAATACTTATGGTTTCCTTATCCAGTTGTAAAGTTGGAGCATATCGCTCAAGTTCAGTTGCAAATCTGAATTTTTTTTGGATGGATGTTTCTAAAGGATTACTATTATTTTGCTGCCTTTTTTCTAAACTTCTATCTCTTTTTAAATGATAGATATCGTGTAACATAGACATTGGAGTATGTTCTGCATTGGACCCAGATTCTCTATTTAGTATTGTGTTTGGAAATTGTTCTTCCAATTTTCTTTCTAATAAAATAATAAAATAATTTTTAAAAGCAGATACCTTATGGTTATGAGTTATGATATAAAAYGTGTGTTTATAATCTCTTCCAACTAAATTAAATCTATCATCATTATGGAGTGTACCTGTCTCTAAAGATTTTGTTATAGATCTTCTGAACTGTGGAGATCTGTTTAAAGTATTTGACTGTGTCAAAGAGGAACTTTCGAGTTCTACAGATGGAGTATCAATATTTTCATCTATTGTAACATCTGAAATTTTTAAATAACTTAATATTAAAGCAAATATTAATATATTTTCTTAAAATAATAATTGTTACCTTTACCTTTAGACAGTTCTAGTTTTAATTTACGACACTGGATTACTTTAATTATACCTTGTAGATCATTTTCAAAATCCAATAATTTTAAATCATCAATACATTCCACTCCTAAATCATTTAGACGTTTGATTAAATTTGGTAAATCTTCGATTGATGATAAATATGGTTTGATTTTATTTATAACCAGTTGCATTTTAAATGTTAATGTTGTACGAGAGTTATCTTGACCATAGCTTTCATCACCATTATTGAAACTACCCATCTTTAGAAATAAATTCTGTGTAAAAAAAAATTTACTATTTTATAATATTGTTAAATAAAATTTACATAAAGTACAATAAGTATAAAAATAAACAAATTAAAAATAAAATTCATAAATATTATAATATTATACAGGATAATAACTATTTTATAAATTGATTTTATGTTTTTATACTATTAATATATGCAATTGTAATAATGTGTGTATATTATTTTAGATTTGAAAATGGAATAATAGTATAGTTATCACTAAGGCTTAACACATAAATTTGGAATCCATCATTCAGGATGCCATCACAATATCAAATTGAATCCCTATTGAATATACTTTTTATTTTTAATGCAAAAAAATTTTGCAAGTATTCCAAATTTGTGTTCCAATGATGTTTTGGTCGCAGAGGTACATACTTCAAAAAATTCCAATCTATAACACTTAGGTAGGTACTTGTATTTTTACTTCTGTAAATTAACTAATAGCTCATAATATGTAGACAGAGAATATGATATTATCTCTACAACATAAATAAATATTATTATCATTTTTCAGACATCATCTTTTCAATTGATTTTATTAGCAACARTTTAGGAAAAAAAACCTTTAAAATACCTACCTATAATGTTTAACAACATTTATATCTACATATTATGTTCTTTCAAAGGAATTTTTGATCTTTTATCAAGTTTTTCAAGTCCTAATAATGTACAATTGTCAATTTTATGGTTTATGATTTCTTTTTTTTAGTTTTATACTCTTTTAAAGTATCTTAAGACTAATTCTAARTATAAAACATACTTTACGATTACATTGAAAAGATCTTAAGCCAAACATGGAAGCATTGTAAAGTTGTTATGAAAGTAATTTATTTCTCTTAGATTTGTGTATGAACATTGAACAGGAACTTCTATGTGTGTTCTAGGTTAAGTATGGGAATTTTCACAATCCATTGATTCATCCTCTAAATAATTATTTTCAAAGTGTTGGCTATCTTTATATGCTAGTAATAAATTATCTTCAGATTCCTTGCAGTAACGTGAAAAGTATAAAAGGGTACCTACTAACAGTGTCGGACTGGTTCCAAATCTATATAAAGGGCCCCTATAAGCCGTTTTTTAGCTAAAAGTTTAATCTGATATATTTTTATTATACGTCCAAAACTTTCAAGACTAAACCATGTTTCATAAAAAAACATTCTTTATTTTAGAATCTTTACTAAAATTAAGTATTTTTTGTGTGATCAAAAAAACCGTGCATTTTCAAAGTAAAAATTTAAATAAAATTAATGTTTTGAAGCTAATAGAAATAATTTTTTTTAGTTTTTGTTTTACTTCTTAGTTCTTACTAATCCTACTAACTACTATTATGTTATAAACCATACATAACTKATTAGGTACTATCTTACATTCATTGACAATAGAACGAATAAGATAACATCTATTATAYCTTTTAGTTTAATACACATTTGATTATTGAATATATATTTTAAGAAAAACAAGTCRAATTCGTCCATACTTAATTTAATAAAAATCCCAGCATACATCACATAGGTAGTTATAACAATATGTCAAAATGTTATAACAAACAATAACAAACTTAGTTATWCTACCTACCTAAATAATAATACTCTCCATTGGAAAGTCAAAATTGTACTGGTTTTGTGTTGTATACTTTTCATATTATTACACCTACATAGTAATTCGTCACGAGCTATAGCCTATAGATTAAGTGATATTATTTACAATTATTTATTAATAGTAAAAATACTTTTTGAACCCTTTTGCGTTTCCATTTTGTAAATTATTATAAGATCTAAAACAAAAATAAATATAAAATAATAAAATAATAAATCAACAAGCTGAGGGCTCTGTGATAAATTGCTGACTAGTGGTCCGGCCCAGTCCGGGTCTGCCTACTAACATTTTCAGTTTAACCTCCAATTTTATGACTAGGTACCCAAATTATCTCCTAGTATTACAATAAAGGCAGACTTTTTTGCAGGGTATGCTGGTATTTTTAAATATACCTAGCTCAATACAAAAAATAGCATGCCAAAAACTCTTAATTTAAATAACTCGTCTCATAATGGATATTCGAATTTAAATTCAAAAAAAAAATTAAATATGCGTTAACTTAATTTTTAGTTTTTGATATTTTAATTTGGAAAGTTTTGTATTGTGATTTCATTCAAACAAAATAATAGTATAAAACCTATAAAAATATGGTAATATTATATATATGGTATTATAATTATAATATAATGACAAAAAATGATATTCAAATTAATCAACATTATTTTTATTTCAGAAAGTAGTATGAAAACAACTAAAAGTGCAAAGGCTAGAATTTTCTGAGAAAAAATTCACAATTCTTCGATTGTGTCTTTTGACTTCTATATTTTTCTTTTTCTATATTAAATATTAATGTATTATCACGAGTTAACAATTTATTTTATTATTTGCTGGTGATAATGAAAATATATTATGATTGTAATCAAAACATATACAACTAAAAACTATGACTGTAATAACTGCCTATATTAGATT